TCGAGACCAGGCTCATTAATAAACATGAAGCGGCTATAAAAACAACAACAATAACAACAACGGCGCCAAAGGAGCAAAAATAACAACCAAGGACATCAGCGGCAGCAGCAGAGCGTGAAAAATCAATGAAGCTGCCTCCTCCTAAAGGCAACCCACATCAGCAACAACACCACAAACCCAAAACGCAAAGCACCCTCCTGAATACAGTGAATATACCCTGTAGAGTTGGTCTTGGCTTAAAGTGGTCAATTCGAGTTTTCGGAAGATACAATATTTACTTGATTTCTAAGGATCTTTGGAGAAAGCATCTACCCAAGTGAAGATAAATCTACTGTAAAGACAGTGTGGTATATGGCTTACAAAACTAAAATAAGTGTTGGTAAACTGTCTTTAACAAGGAGCACAAAACATACATCCCCACATAAGTAGTATTTCCATAGTTGTTAGAAACTTTATTTGGGCACATTTGATGTTGCTGCCACTTAGGCGTATGCGTAATTCGGAGAGTGCCCGTGGACCAAACGGAGCATTACGAAGCCAACGTTCGCCTCCCCAGGCGGAAGGGTTGAGGCGCAACATATTGTACATTGAAAGTTTAAACAAAACTTGTTGTACATATGTTTAAACAAAAGTTATTGCTCTTTTGTGTGTGTGTGTGTGTGTTTTTTTTTTGCGCGCGCGCCCACTCAAAAGTCGAAACTCGAAACTAGTTCTACAAAGTTCAGAGCCAGACAACTTTGGAGAATTTCGAATACAGACGCAGCAGAAGAAACAAGATACAATATAGTTCTGTCCAGTTGAATGGACCTGTAGTAAAGTCTGGTTGCCTTTTATTTTATTTTTTTTTTTTTGTTTAATACTTGTTTTTTCTTGTGCACTTGACTCTGAACAATGCTGACGTGTTTGGCTATATATACAATATGTGTGACTATCTATAAAGTTTCGTTAGCACAATATATTCTATGGACTTATTTGAATGCACAAGGCACTGAGACAAAACATTTTATAAACTATAGAATCGTGAATTTATTTAACATTCAATGCATGCATTTTGTTTTCAATTCAATTAATTGAAGTTCATTATGAATGCATTCATATTTCAGTTAATTTTTTCGGTCAAGTGCATTAATCGAAACACATTTTATTTAAATTAATTATTTAATTAAACAAAAGAGCTGAGCATTTTTTTTTATAATAGAAATAATACAATCGAAACTGTCAAGAATTTAATATTCATCGTTTTCTATTCATTATATATTTTGTATACAAAATGTATTTTTTACAATTTATGATAACACAATTATTTGTTACAAAAAAAAAAAAAAAAAACAAGTGCAGAATTAAGAAATACATAAAGAGCAGGGAACAAAATGTTCTTCGACAAAGTTGCTCTTCTTATGTTATTTCTGAGAAACTACATTCCTTAAAAAAAAAAAAACCAACTTCAACTTTTGAAAGTTTTGCACGTATTTTTACAACAATCTTTCTACCTGTGAGGCTTTTGGTATTATATGCCTACATTTTTGGATTTTTACGTTTATTTTGTTCAATTATAAAAACGAAATAATATTTGAATAGCAATAACCATTGCATTGTTTCCGCTGAACGTTGCTCAGTCGTCTCCATTTGTTATGGCCTACATGAAGCATATCAAATTAAGTTGTAAATTCCTCAAAGGCCACGTTTATTAGTCAGAGGCGCGATACTTCTCAATTGAATGTGAATTGTCATGGGCATGCATGACCTGTATAAAAACTGTGTAATATTCAATTGCAACTCTCATCAGTGTGAGACATATCGAACAACAGTCTCATTATTATTAAATATTTATTAGCACTGAATTGCTAAATAAAAAAAAATAAAAAACAAAGTAAAATAAGAAAGAATAGTTTTGTTTGGCACGCCGAAAATGAAATACCCTGAAACACATATAAGATAGGAATTCAAAACGTTCAGATTTTACTTTACTGATATAGCGATCCGATCCGGGACACTTAAGACATATATGCTGAATCTATAAAGGACTGAGCTATGTATCAAGCTTTATTGACCAAGAGTATATTTCATGTGTTACACACTTCATGACAACGTACTCTTTACGAGGGTATGAAAAAGATCGAAAAGAAAATCAACACTTGGGCGTTCTTAAAATAGCTGTGCACACATTGCGCATGCTATGCAGTAGCAGTAACAACAACAATTTGTTGTGTCTGTTTGTGTGTATGTGTTGCACATCACAAAACAACAACAACAACAACAACAACTGCAGCAGCAGCAGCATCAGCAGCAGCAGCAGCCAATGACAACAATAAAAAAGTGTGTCACGCTGAATCACAGAGGCGTATAGTTCATATATAGAGAGATACGTGAGACGAACAAGTCCATTGTGAACTACAAATTATGCGCGACTTCATTGCGCATACGCCCCGTTCCAATTACAAACGTTCTAGCTCCCTTTCATGATGATTTATTTGTTCAAAATTGATGATGATATGTGATATATGATATATGTGATATTTATGATAAACCTCAAGCGACCTTTAATATCTAATTGATCCATTAACCTACTATTCGATCCATTGAAGTCCACTACTTTAACCGCTTTTCAAGTTTTTGTGATTGAAAGTTTCTTAATTTTATGTCATTGCCTTGTCCTTTACAGTCTATAGTATTCAATTTAATATGATGTTGATGTAGATCTGTATGATATATGCTGTTGCATAATTGATAGATTAACATATTTATTTAGACTACTTTGAAGTAGGAGATATTTCTTAAATATTAAAATGCAACAATAAAAGCATTTTAGTAATTATTTAATGCAATTGGATCGTTCAATTAGCTTTACTTTTACTTTCTGGCTTGCCGCAATTCGCCTCGCCTAATTCATTCATGATTTGCTTTAATGCGAAATCAGTCTATTTAAAACATTTCCATTTCCCACTGAATGGACTAAAATCGAAGTGCACACAATTCACACTCAAAACAAATAATCACATTTTAAGGAGAAGAAAATGACAGGCGACATGTTTATAGGAAGTGTGACAGGCTAATAAACGCCGCCAGATGGCGCTGCAATCGCCAGGCACTCGTGTTGATCTTCATGGGAAACAATTTGAGCAAGTCGGGCAAATGAGCCAAGTGTTGACCAGCACAACCTGGGGGCATTACGTAATGCCCATGGCTTTATATATAGTCGTGTTCAACGCTTATACACGTAATCGTATATTCTAAGCGTGCCTGACAATCCGGTCAAACGGGTTATCATTAGTACCTGTTGCCCGTACAGTACACTTGCCAACATCATAATGTTCATTCACATGATCATTAAGAACATCGTTGTCATGGCCCAAAAAGCGAGCGAGCACACACACACACACACACATACATATTTTCCACTATTAACCCATTTGACGAGCCGTTGTAAAAATAAATAAAAAAAAAAAAATTTTTTTAAAAAGTGCGTGTGGAAATTGTGTTTTTTTACACATTGCCAACTCTCTCGCAGAGGTTACGAACTGGGCCCAGCAGATCGAGGGGGAGAGCGGTAGAATGATAAATAGAGAAAGAGAGACAGCTATCGTTCTCTTTTAGCTGACATCTGTTGCTGCTGCTGCTGCTGCTGTTTAGGAAAAACTATTTTCAGTCAGCTACTTTTCATATTTTTATACAGCACGTCACGCACTTCTTCTTTCCGGGCCAACGTGTTTTTCGGATCACAAATGAGGTCATCGTCCAAGCGCGTCAAAAACGAAATTCCGCATTTCGAAATGACTGAATGCAATGGAATGGACAACAAGTACACAAGCAGCACATATTAAAAGCAACAACAAAGTAAACACTATAAATGAAATTTATATATAAAGAAACGTGTTTCTATTGCAAACAGGTTCTAAACAGAAAGAAATCAAATAAAGCTAAACTTGAATTTTCGACATGTGCAGACATGCGTGAGTCATCTAAATTCAAATAATTTGCCATCATCATCATCCGACTTAATCATCAGCCGAGATGAGCAACAGTTTCCGATATGCAACTACAGCAAATTGGATGACAGATTTAACCCTAGACCTAAAACAAAACCAATTATATATGTCAAAAATATAAACTGATTGTAAGTCAAATTATATTGTTAGCTAGAATATTATCTGTTGCAAATATCCTTGTTTCATTAGGACAATATAAATGCCAAATACTACGTACTATACCGTTATTAAAGTACGCCATCTGGTGTCAAAAACTGTAAGCCTAATTAGTACTGGTTATACGGTAAAGCTAGCTATCGATAAAAGTTGGAATGTAGAAAACATCGATTTATCGAAAAGCCGATAGCTGATAAGCGTCAAGTATATTGCGGCTAAAGATCGTTTTTCGATAAATCGATATTCGAAACACAATCGATTGCACGTATTGAGAATACAGCCAAACTATATATAATATAATAATAAATGTATATAGAAAGAATTATGACTTCTTCTACTAATCAGGATTTTCGAATTTAAAACTTGAACAAATTTGTTTCAAGGACGTATGAGAAAATGCTTGAAATTACATTTGTCGAGTACGTTCTTGAGATGAAAATAATTTGTATATTTTTCTGTTGCTGTTGTATTCTTGTTTTCTAATCCAAAAGCAGGCAAATATTCATTCTGAATACGATTCGCATCATTTTTTATAAACAGATTCTATGATTTCTATGTAAATTTCGAAGAAAAAAAATCTATGCGACGTCGAGACAGCCGAAATATTAAAAACAAACACACACTATAGAAAAATATATTTGGAAAAAGAGAACAACAAAAACTAAATGATTTTTGATTCAAATTTAAAATAGGATGAAACAGAAAAATAGAGGGAAAAAAAACTTGCTTGGCATGCCGCGTCTGCTTTTAAATTGATATATGTATGTAAATTGCCAAATACTTTAACTATACTAAAATAGAATCGGATTGTGTTTAGTCTATGTAGAACTAGACCATAATATGATAATGTGTACTTACTCCGGTTCCGGTTGTCCATCGGCCTCGCACTCGATAATGAATGGCTTGTCGCTCTCTTTGTTCTGTTGCGCCACCTTGAAAAGCAGCTCATCTGTGGGGGGCTGTTTGATGATCCGCGGCGGGGAATTGTCTAAAGAGAATGACGGAAGAAAAGAGTCAGTTTGCGCCGTGAAGATTGGGGCTGGGGTTGATGTTGGGACTGGGACACACTCTGCTAATTTGGCACATAAATTAGGACGTGAATCTCTCTGGCATGCTCTACATTTAGTCTTTTGGGGTCCACATAATAAGTTGTATTTCTATGTTTATTTTTATCAACTGTCGTCGCAGTGGCTATTTTTGTGATTCAGTTCAATCTATTGGAAACTGGCACCTTCGAGAGTGGCTCAGGTGGGCTTTAACAAAATGTTTACCCAATTTCTATCTGCCAAAAGACTATATAAATAGTTTCTCTAAATGCACTACCACCACAAAGAATAGTCCTCTTTTTGAAACGGATGAGACACTCAGTAGAAACAAAAGAGATTTCGAGTGGGGGACAGCACTTCATATGTGTATATGGATAAAGTTACACAATAAAACAATTAAAGAACTGGCAGCCCATTTATAAGTTAAACAAAGCTTTGGGCAGAAAGGAAAATTCAAAAAGCTGGCAAGAGGAAGAATTTGCGCTAGCTATGACAAAAAGAATAATAGTGCCAAGCAAAGATAAATTCGCAAAAACTTTCACTAGACTTTGTACAATGGGTACATGATTAGGTTAAAGGGAGAGCTGAGCCAGCTTGAGAGAATGTTGAATAAGTGATTTAATAACAAATAGAATACAGTTTAGCTATTCAAAAAAGCGATATAAGATTTTAGATGATAGAATCTTAAAAGTTGTGACCCTAGATATATAAAGGAAGAACTGGGCTAACTTGGAAGAAAATTTTTAACAAAGATATGAAAAATATAAAGAAAATGGCATTATAAGTCATTTGTGTTGCTGTTTTTATTTAAATTAATGAATTACTTTAAAAGATGACACAATCGCAAAATTTAAGAGCTTTTTGAGAAATAAAAACAGGGAGTAGTTCAGCATGTGTTATTTGTTTAATTGCTTTAGCTTTTATAAGTTCAAAAGAGATCGAAATGGTGTCAGCTGACGGTTAAATGGGTGCATTGTCTTCTAGATTTTCAATTGCTCCTATTAGAGATTCTACAGAGATTATCTAGTTATTCTTTGCACCGAATAGACATGGATATGGAATTGGATTTGGACTTTCGACTTACTCATTGCCGTTGTGCTGCCTAAAATGGCAGCCAGTAATATCGCGGCCAGCATCGTTGACTGCCGCCGCATTTTAGTTGTTGTTCGACTGCGCTGCAATTGTTGTTGTTGTTGTTACACACCACACACCACACACCACACGCCACACACACACACACACACACAGTCTCTGTGCCCCTTTCGTATGGCACAGTCTCTTCTGGACCCTGGGATCTACAACTATCTGCGCAATTGTATTGTCAATTTCGTCGTGTTGCAATTGTACTGTCTGGAATGTTTTTCTTTTCGTTTTGTTTTTGCTTTTTTTTTATTTTTATTTTCTTTCCTTTCGTAGGTTCTCACAATTTTCTCACTAATGAAAATTGCATCCAAGTGAGCGTTTTTCCTTTCGCATGCACTGCAGTTGGCAATAGGAAAAAGAAGAACAAAAAGAACACATTGAGCTACTTTTCACACTTAAATGGCAAACGACGCGAATGGCGAAACCCGTTTTGTATAATAACTATATACTATGCATTGTATTTAATAGATTCATGTAATATGCGCTTCGCTGCGAGCAGTAAAAGTTTATTCACTGTGTGTTTTCTTATTATTATCATAATTATTATTATTATTGCTGTTGTGTGTCTGCAAATAGAAGAAGAGTAGAACATATATATAATTATTATTAAGATTATAATGTGCATGGTACATGATTTAAACAACGAAAGTGACTTTAATATTAAACACATGCCAACAATTCGTATCATTCGCAATATAACATAATTTCATAATTTTTCGATTTTTCGAAAATTTATTTAAAGCCTTCACAACAACCAGCTGGCATTTGTGTATGTATTGCAAATGTTTAGTAAATAGTATCGCAGGCCCCCAATTTACGCATATAAATCATATTATGAAATAAGTAAGAAAATCAGTTTGAATTACTTAAGCGAAATGCTGTTCTAGTTCTTAATTTTAATTTTCAGTTTTTTTCATTTAATTTATTAGTTTTTGTTTTTACACGACAATGAAACTGCACAAAGTGTTTCCCAATATGTTTATGGAGAAATAAAACAAATAGTTTTTGAATAACTTTGGCCTGTTTTTTCAATGTCATGAAATATCAAAGAAGAAAGAAATTCAATAACTATATCGACTCAAGAGGGTTTTCTGTTACGTTAACAATTGTTCAGCCTAACTCCAAATTTTAAGATCAGCTCCAACATACATCTATTTAGATAATAATAGACTTTATTGTTGCTTGCTTGGAGAGTTCTCGAATACAAACAGCAGAAACCTAACAAGCCCAGCATAAGGATCGAGGCAGAAGACAATACAAGAACCCAGCTGTCGCCTGTGTCTGACATAAAGCTCTGTTTCAATCCAACTTTAGCCACATCTATATTTCATTTGAATAAAACAAAAGCTTGGCTTAGCAAATTTATTAAACGGTTTAGGACTTTAGCGCATTTGGCTTACATTTCATTTAAATCTGATTCCCTTGAATGTGCGCTTAACTGTGTGTATCTGGGTGGCTCGTGTAATCGCTTGATTAGACCTGCTTTTACACACACACACACACACTCGCACACACTCGCACACATACAGCATTGACAAGTCGAAATTTTGGAATCACGCACTGGACTTGGCCAAGCCAAACGGGCAGCAGACACAAACCAATAAACGACAACGACGATGGCCGTCAGAGGCCCGACTTGAAAATCGATTATTGCAATTATTACTTTTCTGGGGGCAACGAGAAACCGAGCAATTGACAGCTACGTTGTCATCGGAAGTGGGCAGCAACTGCCGAGGCCCAGCGCCAGACAGAAGAAAAACATACAAAAAAAAAAACACGCACACAGTAGGAGTGTTCTGGGCGGTTGTGCACGACTAGAAGATACCGAATGTCTTCACAAGCATTCCAACTACTTTTGATATGAGTTAGCGTATCCATGGGGAGGATCCATAAGGATGCCAAATTTGATGCCTCTCGTTCTTGTTGTCTCTTAAAAAAGGGATCGTTATTTATGGATATTTTGCAAATCGGTGGATATCGAACCATAAATTTAGCCTCGCTTTGCGCATGAGCGACATAAGATTATGATGTCACATTTCAAATATCTAGATCCTATAGTTTCCGAGATTAAACTAGAATATATTTAAATTCTTCTGCTGCTTCTGCCTGTTGTATGCTTTTACACAAAACTATTATGCCCTTTCGTACTCATTCGCAAAAGTGTCAATGAATCAATTGCAAAGTGCGCACAGAGACACTAAAAATAGTTGGGGCTTGTGGCATGGGGGGTAGGGTTCAGTGCGTCGTCATAGACCTAATTCCCAAATGCCATTCAATGGAAAATGTGCCAAGCGAGAACGCAGCAACACAAACTGTGACTGGTGACAGTGACTGATACTGAGACTGAGACTGAGACAGACGGGGCCAATACGAGACGAGGGCAAGTTAGCATTGGAATGCCACAAAACAAGGGTTAGAAACGAACGCTAATTGAATTAGCATTAGACGGACGGATCTGCTCCAGTACCGGGCTGTCTGTGCACGCTCCCAACGTGCTGCACATCAAACTGGCAAAAATGCTGCACTGCAACGGACGTTGATTGTGATTGTTGCAGTAGCAAACATCACTAGCACCGCCAATGCAGTACCATCAGTATCAGCGGGAGCCGCAGCAACAGCCATCGGAGCGGAACGGTCATAGCCATCACAGCGTTATGGATATACGAAATCTTTGCCAACGCCTGGACGTGGACAGCCTGAAGGGTAAGCGTTGCAAGTGTTAAAGAGTCATAGAAGCTTCATTCAAATTAGTACCTTCCTTCTGCTAAAAAGAACTAGTTCCCATGATGTAGATCAGTCAGATTTTGGATTTGTCTCTTCAAAACAAACTAGCTTCAAAATATTGCACTAATGGTACACATGATCCGAGTCTTATAAGTGGAAATTGTTTAAAGGTGAATTTGTTAATTAAATCAAAAAGAACTAGTTCGCACGTTATCTTAATTGTGCACATACAATTTGGGCCTGACATAAGAATTGTACACTTTTAGTTAACGAAATGAGATCTGGAAAAGAACTAGTTCACAAGTTTTGTAATTTATATAAACATATAAGCTTGTGGCAATACAAAAACAAACGTTTTTTACTTAAGGATTTTAAATTCAACATAAACAAAATAGTCTATTGAAAAGCCCCAAAAGAACTAGTTCAACAGTTTAGTCATTTATATAACAGATCAAGGCCTTTTATATTCAGCCTCAAGTTCATGCTAAGCCAACAAATGTGTAGTTCCAATATTCTAATGCTAATTTACCTAATGCTAAGTCCTTGGCAGACAAATTGACAATTTATAATAGTATAAAATCCTGCAATATGTTTTCATTCCCGTTTTCTTTTTTGTTGCACAGCCAAACTGTCAACGCTGCCACAGTTGAAGTTGCCAAAATCGTTGCCCAAGCTGCGCGCTGCACGTCGCTTCTTTCACAGCAGCCACGAGAATGGCAGCGGCAAGGCTGCGCCAGGTACAGGAACAGGAATAGGTACGAGTACGGGTACGGGTACGGGTACGGGTACGGATTCTCTGGCGCCTGCAATGCCTCAGGCGCAGTTTATCAATCGCACGCCGCAGCGCATATCCACAATTAGCTCGCTGATGCACGAGCAGGCAGCGGTAGATCGGCAGGTGACGGCGGCAACAACACAGCAACTGCAGTCGAATGCCAGCACCTACCGCAGTGCAGGCAGCTTGGATGATGAATACTATGCGCCATATGGCACAGGAGGACGCGGTTCGCGCCCAATCAGTCCCATTAGAATGCCACCAGACACAACGTTAACGACGCCAACCACGACCACCACCACGACCACGTCGAGCCTGACGCAGCGGCTGCAGCGCGGCTACAAGAGTCTCAGCGAGCTGCGGCTGAAGCATCTGTTTGCCAAGCAGACGACCATACGGCGGGATGGCATCGAGGTAGATCGCTACGTCGAGCAGTATGAGGCGGAGCGACGTCTCGAACAGCTGGAGCAGGCGCGTCGAGATCGGGAGATAGCCGACAATTATGACATACACATCAGCACGCTACCCATGAGCAGACAGAATACGATGAAGGAGGAGGAAGACCAGCAGCAGCAGCAGCAGCAGCAGCAGCAGGATCAGCATGGACGCAGCGTGCCAGAGCACAGCGGCGATGAGAGCGGCATGGAGGAGGCAATGCCACAGCAGCAGGCGCCGCCGCGCAAAAAGACTGGCATAGCCGCTAGCAGATTTGCCAAGGTGCGACAGCCACCGCTGCCGATGCCCGTGCAGGAGCAACAGGAGCAGGCGGAGCAGCAACGACAGAAGGAGCAACAGCCCATGCGACAGGCGGTGCGTCAGAATTTGAAGCGTCTGCGCAAGTCCATCAAGCGTGTGCATCATCAGCCAGCTAGGCCAGCCGCAGAGGACACCGATGAGGATGAGGGGCAGACCAAGACACGTACAAGCACGGGCGGCACACTGCGGGCGCGTCTGCGTCGCTTTGCATCCAGCGAGCAGCTGCCGCAGCGCTGGCGCAAGAGCTTCAAGAGCAACAGCGAGACCCAGGAACAGTCGGCGCAACAGCTGCCAGGCGGAGCAGCTGCTGGAACAGCTGGTGCATCAGCTGGCGCCACATTAGGCCTGGCTGTGGGCGCGCACTTGGAGCGCACGATGACCAAGCTGAATGAGAAGATGCAGCAGCTCAAGTTTTTTCAGCGCGCCGGCGATAAAAAGTCAGCCGAGCAAATGGGCAACAAACCCAACACCATTGGCCGCGAGCCCGTCGATATTGACGATGACGAGCTGGAGGCGACCTATCATCACAGCGACAGCGCAAGCGATGACAGCGATCAAGAAATGGTCACCGCCGAGGTGGAGCAGGAACGGGCGCAGCAGCAGAAGGAGCGGGTTGCGGCATCACCTGGATTGGTTAAACGCCAGACACTGACAACGCTGGCGCAATTGCAGGCGCACTCGACAACAGCCTGGAGCAGCGAGTCTCTGGAGGAGGATGCATCTGCAGAGCAGCAACTGGCAACCGCTGCGTCCGATTATCCGCGTGTGCTCATCCATCAACAGCAGACGGATGCCTACGAGTCCACATTGATTATAGCGGTGACCGCAACGCCACCGTCATCATCGCCGCCGGCTCCAATAGCCGCCGGCAAGCAGCGCAGCACGGCGCATCAATGGGTGTCCAATGAGCAGATCATAGCTGATTTCAAGGCGCAGCAGGCGACCTCCAGCGTTTGGCCAGCACCTGCTCTGTACAAGCCCAAGAGCATTGACATCTTTGAGGGCGATGTCGGCGCCGCTGCTGCCTTTGCGGACTTCGATGAGGCACTGCGCAATGCGCCCGTGCTGCGCATTAGCACTG